CCTAAATTCGTCCGTACTCAGAGTTCGCTATCATGCACTTAATATCTGTAGATGCTGTCATAAACAGTCTGTTACTGAGATCATGCGTTATTGAGCTAACACGTGAAGAAAAATATTGACGCGTTAGGTTTTTTCGTTTGTGGACGTTTTGGTAAGATCTTATTTCGTAGCTGCACCTGTTAGGAGTTTGGAATACGGGTTAGGGTCAGGGGTTACTGTTAGGGGTTCAAGTCAGAGATTAGTGGTTAGGGTTGGGGTAAGGGGTTGGGATTAGGTATTAGGGTTGGAAGCTATGGGTTAGGGTCTGGGATTGGTGTTAAGGGTTAGTGTAAGGGGTTAGGTTCAGGGGTTATGGTTAGGGCTTAGGGTTAGGGGTTAGGCGTCAGAGTTGGAAGTCAGGGTTAGGGTTAAGGTCTAGTGTTAAATCTTCTTTTACCATCGTTCCCGTATGACAGGTGGCTAGGTCCTGAATGCTGCAGGTGGGACTACGAAATAAGATCCGGCCGACGTTTTTAGACTCATCCGACGACAAGAAGTCTCCAGGTACGTTGAGTAATCATTGTGGGAACTATGTAAAATATTGTGTCATTTAAACATAAAACTAGAAACGTATGGCTGTAGAGAATCTAATTGCCACAAGATTCCTGTCGCCATTTTTTGTAGACTGGTGCATATGGATTGGGTGCCAAGTCGTGTGTGGCACGCTCAAAAGAGTTGTTTAGCCTTGTTAGTCACCACACTCGAATCCAGTGCTCTTAAATTCTTTGTAATAGGAGCACTGTGGGTAAAGGGGAAGGAAGTGAAGTATGCGTAGCATGTGCCTGCTCCGACATAAACAAATGCACGCGCAGGTTACCGCTGGGCCCGACCCGGCCGCTTACTGTCGGTTTGTAGTGTAACGCCCTAGCAGATAAGCCATGTCCTCGTTCTCCTGTCGTTTGCCATTGGGTATCTACAATGGTGGAGTGGCGCTCATCGATCGCATTACGGGACTCATGCTTCCCGTTGTGTCTTCGGTCTTAATATTGATTCACGCCCGCAGTCGCACAGCGGCCGGTGAAACAGGTAGATAGGGTGGTACTTCCAACGACAAGGGAGACCGGAATGACTATTTTTGACTTATCAGTCGTCATCAGCCAAGCATACCCAACCCCAATTTAAGATTTGAACCGTGATCCTTTATCGTTAAAAAATGACTACTTAAGAAGCATGCATTTTTCCCATTGATTTTCGACGATTTTGCAGATTCAAATATATCTTATAGAAACCATAGACAAAAATACGCCTTCTTTTTATTAATCAATAGAGAATCACGTCTTCTTTATATTTTCTTCTCAAGGAAGGAGTATAATTAAGTTTTAAAAACGTTTATAATTATTAGATTTTTTAAGGCCGTGCAATGCCCATTCACATAGCAGCTAACCTGGACTTTTACCACAGCTCCTCATGAAATATACAAAAAGTGAACATCCATTTCAAAATTTTATGGACTCTGTATGATATCTATTTAAAGGCCTAGAAGAATGCATGATATTCTTTATGCGGGACGCATGCACCTTGTAGACTGAAAACACTTGGCGCTGATGCAACGAATGACCAGGCTCCAAATTATTCAACAATTAGACAACTTTTTTTCAACCTATTTATACTCCTTTCTTGCGTATAAAATATAAAGAAGACGTGATTTTCTATCGAGTAACTTAAAGAAAGCATAGTTTCGTTTATGACTTCTATAAGATATATTTGAATCTGCAAAGCCGTCGAAAATTAATTAGAAAATTGCGTACTACTTAAGAAGTCATTTTTTAACGAGAACGGTCTCTACAGGAAATCAAAAAGCAGCATATCCAAAAGCTGACATCCTGCCGAGTCCTAAATGTTATAAAATTATGCCGCAGGATAAGCAGTATTACAATCGTGACCAAGTAATCCTTCCCAATCGAAAACGCATTTCAGAATTATGGCCAACATTTCATGAGATCGGGCACTCACTGTAAATAGGGTGGTACCGCCAAAGACCAGGGAGACTGGAGTGACTATTTCTGACTTATTAGCCGTCATCAGCCAAGCATACCCAACCTCAATCTGAGATTTGAACCGTGAACCTTGATCATTAAGTGTGACACTCTATGATTGAACCACGGAACAACGGGATGAGAACGCTCTGTAACCTGATTGTTGGACGCCCATCTACCAAAACTAGCATTCCCGACCAAAACGGACAAGACTACAAGTTTAATCTACGGAAGCTGTTTATCTCGCTTTTGGGCGTTCCGCATTTGTATGGAATCAGGCAAATTGTAGCAGTAGACGCTGCCCAAAGTCGTTTTTAAGAGGGACCATGCATTAACGATTTAATATTTGGCGCAAAGTCTCGAAACGCAAAATATTTTCACCTTTTCTACACTTTTTTTAGTCTTGGCCAAAGACAAGAAATCTCAAGTTACGTTGAATAATCAGCGTTTTGCCTACGTAGAATACTGTGTCTTCTGAATGCAAAAGTTGTAACGAAGAGCCTTTGAGAATCTAATCTTCTGATTTTTAATTTATTTTGAAATGTGCTTCCCAGCGTTTCTACGGTAGTTTTATTTACTGACCATGCACTTCAGCAGAGAGACATTCACGGGCCCCTCCTAGCAAAAATTCTTCGCTACTTTGTGAACAACAAGGGGCCTTTCAAACGTACCTCTGTCCCTGTTTTGGCATTCTATACCCTGAAATCGAAAAGCGTCCAGACACTGTTTTTACGTCAGGACAAGCCTCTGTTAGAACAGCTAAGGCCAAAGACAGACCCTAGACACAATTTAAAACAGGCATAGACAGCAGAATTTATTGGAACCAGTAAATGTTGCGACGGCTTATTAACTGCAGTCTATCTTTGCATAACACAAATAACAAGTGAGAAAGATACAGAGGTTTGAACTTCCACAGAGAAAATCAATATAAAACAGCAAGGCCATCTTATACTGCACGTAGGCTAATCAAGAAAATGGTAGCTTGAAAAACGCAACATAGGAAAGAAAATGGGAAGTTAACACGCCGAGGGCAATCTGTGGTCGACCACGTGATCTAACTGTTTAAATAGGTCGGGTTTCTCCCGCCGTATGTAGGCTGCCTCTAGGTAGCGCAGTAACCGTTCTTATCAACTGCAGCCTGTCGTTGCATAACACAGATAGCAAGTTAGAAAGATACAAAGGTTTGAACTTCCACAGAAATCGAGGAACGTCCAGGCACTGTGTTAACGTCATTACTAGCCCCTGTTAGAACAGCTAAGGACAGACCCTAGCCACAATCATCCGTAGGCTCGGCCCGGCCCCGCATGGAAGGTCGTGTTTGAGGTCTGCTGGGGTGATACTGCATTCTGTGCAGAAAGAGGGGAGAGGCGGTTGCAATAACTTGGCGCGGCCGGCCAAGAAAACACGTTCGGCGCCCTGAGGACGACGTTCTGAGTGACAGGGGGGAATGCGTCACAGCGCCTTGGGCGAGCGCCCACCTGAGTCGGCGTATTACGCCGTAGAAGAGGACATGTCGACACGAACCGTGATCTGAAGTGAAGTCATCGTCTGTCGCCTGTCACGCACAGGCCCCAGATCTTACCGAAGTAAAACGGCCCTAGAAGGCAATGTCTGCCGGACCAAATTTCATCCCCACCCGGTTGGCAGGCTTCAAGAACAGAAGCAGAGAGTGGTGCCGATGTCACGCAAGTCTGACACACCAAGTCACCGTCTTGCCACCACTCGTAGGGGGGCACACGCTTCAGGACTGTCGACCTGTGGTACTTGTTTCAAGCCATTTTCTTGTTGTTCTACATCAAATCCCTTATTTTACCCTCAATTTCAAGCTCCTTCTCTCATTCCTATGTTCGATGTTTTGTTGGCAGTAGACAAGAAAATCTGGGAACCAGCTTATCACGGGGAACAAAAGGAAGATTGGCTACCGGAGGCTGAGGGACAAGCATTGCAGTATATCATACGGGAAGATGGAGATCAACTCCAAGTCCGCGTCTTCAAAGGCGGCAAATATTTAGACTCACACGAGGTCATAGTGAAAGGACGGCGTTATGTGATAAAGGATAAGGACGACAAAAAACATAAATTCAAATACCTCTCCGAACTTGCGTCTGCTTTCAAAGAGGTACGCCTTATTTCTTGTACGTAGAAATAGGAGATTTTCTCGACGACTTTCTTGGACATTTTGTCTGATTAACTGGTCGGAGTGGGTTTAGTCGACAAGTCAAAGATTCCTCAATCAGAATTCAGTGAAGACGGATTGGCTTTGACAACAGTTACTATTAAGGGAGTGCGTACACAAAGGCACTGTAAGCGGTTGCTACGAGCGCGCCCTCGAAGAAAGTTGTTGTTGTTGTCTGTGTCCCTCCTCGAGGTGCTCAGAGTCAGCGCGTGTGTGCGCCTTTCGTTGTCTCAGCGTCCGCCAGCCAATCAGAGGAGGGGCAGCGTTGATGGGCTTCCAGCAGTCACAAGGCTAGTGAGCAGCCTCGTGCGCCCCAGTGGCGCATCAACAAGGAGTGTGAGACGAGGTAAGACTCGGAGACGGATGACCTGGGCGGAGACGGTGCAGGAGGCTGGTAGGATCCTCAACTGCAACTCGCGGGGTTGGCGAGGTCATTTGACCTGGAAGTCAGACGGTAGCACCGAACACGAGTTCAGCAGCGGAACAGTCAAGGTCCGACTTGAGCGAATGCCCAACCGGACCAGAGGGAAGTGGTCAGCCCAGTTCACCGGATCGTCTGTGGCGCGTAGAGAGGTCTTCAGCTGACGGTGAAACCGCTTGACCATCCCATTGGCTGTCGGGTGTTGGGCTGTATTGCGGATGCAAGTACAGCCTAGAAAGGAGAGAAGAGACTGGAAGAGGTTATATTAAAATTGGGCACCGCGGTCAGTCGTGATAGTGGAGGGAGCACTTAAGATGTCCACCCAACGACTGAGGAAGGCCTTGACGACTGTTGGAGCATCGACATCGGGCAGAGGGATAGCTTCCGGTCAGCGGATGAATCGATTCACGCAGGTAAGAAGATAGAAGCAGCCATTGGAGAGAGGCAGGTGGCCTACGATGTCCAGGTGGACATGACTGAACCGTCTATCCGGAGTGGGGAAGGTGGCGATGGGGGCTTTGTATTGCGGTTGTACCTTGTTCTGTTGACAGCCGAGATACGCTCGTGTCCAGGCTTTGAGGTCCTTGTGCATCCAAGGCCAGAAGAAGCGGTCGGAAACCAGCTTGTTGGTAGCTCGACTCCCAGGGTGCGATAGGTGGTGCAGGGAGAAGAAGAATTTGCGGCGGAGGGATGGCGGCACAAAGGGACGGTGGGAAGTGGTGGAGACGTCGCAGAGAATGGTGCCGTTGCCAGTAGTCAGTGGCAGGTCCTGGAGTTGGAGTCCGGAAACGTCATCGTCACAGGGAGAACAAACACGGCGTTGCTCGGTAGCCATCTCAGCTAGGTCGGTCCCGGGAGAAAGTTGATGTGCGACGGAGGGCCTGGACAGTGCGTCAGCCACCTCATTGCTTGACCCGTCCATGTGACGGATGTCTGAGGTAAACTGCGAGATGTAGTCCAGTTGGCGAATTTCCCGGGGCTTGAGCTTGTCGGGCGTGGACTTGAGAGCGAACGAAATGGGCTGGTGATCTGTGAACACAGTGAAGTCCCTGCCCTCGAGGAAGTGCCGAAAGTGTTTCACGGCGAGGTAGACAGAGCGGAGCTCCCGTCCAAATGTGCTATAGCGCGTCTCGGCAGTTGATAACTTCCTGGAGAAGAAAGCTAAGGGTTGGGTGTGACCTGCAAGGTACTGTTGGAGAACCGCGCCTACTGCAACATTGGGGGCGTCAACTATGAGGGAGATGGGAGCATTGGGAGAAAAATGCGTCGGAAGGGTGGCGTCGGCCAGGTCAGCCTTCACCTTGCCAGAAACAGCGAGGGCGTCTGCAGAGAGCTCAAACGAACGTTTGGGACCAGAGAGGAGGCTCGTGAGCGGCTGGATGTTGTCGGCGCAATGCTGAAGGAACCGACGGTAAAAATTCACCATATCCAGAAATCACTGCAGCTGAGGTTTGGATAAGGGAGGCGGAAAATCACGGATGGCTGCAACCTTCGCTGGGATGTCAACCAGATGACCGAGGAATTCTGGCGAGGGGGCACCGAAGACGCACTTGGACGGGTTGAGAACAACACCGAACTGCTGAAGGTGGTCAAACACCGTTGCAAGATGCTCCATGTGTTCTTCGGTGGTGGAGCTAGCTACCAGAAGGTCGTCGATGTAGGCGTATACAAATGGCAGGCCGCGAAGCACTCTGTCTACGAATCTTTGGAAGGCCTGGGAGGCGTTGCGACGTCCAAACGGCATGCACAGGAACTCAAGGAGGCCATAGGGGGTGGTGCTGGCTGTCTTCGAAACGTCCTCTGGGGCGATGGGAATCTGTTGGAAGGCAGGGACCAGATCGATCTACGAGAATACAGACTTGCCGAATAGGACGCCGGCAAAATCCTGAAGATGTGGGACAAGGTAGCGTTCCGGGACAGTGACGTTGTTTAGGGCCCTGTAATCACCGCAGGGGCGCCAGTCACCAATGGCGGCCAGTGAGACCATGTGAAGGGGTGAGGCCCATGGGCCTTCAGACTGACGGATGATGGCCATCTGAAGTATGTGCTTAAACTCGGCCTTGGCGACAGCAAGACGTGCAAGCGCGAGACGACGGGGTCGAGAAAACACGGGAGGGCCAGTAGTCCGGATGAAATGGCGGAATGGAAGTGCTGAAGTCGGGACGAGTGAGACCGGGGTATTTGGCGAGGAGTTGCCAAAATGGATTCTCGGGTTCGGGGTCCAAGACAGCGAGTTTACGGGAAGCGTCGGAGGAAGAGATACCCCGAACGGTGAGATTGGTGGTCTTGTCGTGTAGACGAGACTGAAGGCAGTCGACCAGAAGATCGAAAGCGGCGAGAAAGTCTGCAGCGAGAACGGCACAGGGGATGTCAGCAACGACGATGACCCAAGGGAAAAGACGCCGGAGGCCGATGTCCAGAGAGAGGGAGCAGGTGTCGAAGGCGGTAATTGGCGATGTGTTGACGGCCTGTAGGAAAAGGCCGTGATTGGGACACGGAAGAGCAGCTGGTGTGCGTGGAATGACACTTAACTGGGCACTAATGTCAACCAAGAAACTTCTGCCACTCCGGGTGTTGCGGATGTAAAATGTGCAACCAGGGTTAAAGCTGTCGTGAAGATTGGCTGCACTGACCTTCGGGCTGACCTGTTTAACGCATTTGCTCTGCTTGGAGGTGAAGGGGCAGGGAGAGATGCAGCGACGGGCTTTAACACCAAATGTGGCGTGATACCAGCAGATGGCGGCTGTGTTTGAACAGGCTGAACGCGGAGACTGGACATGCGGGGTGGAAGGCTTCGGTTGGCGCTGAGATGAGGAAAAAACTGTTTGCCTTCAGAGAGAAGTTACATCATCAGCCAGCCTGGTAAGTCCGATCTCCATCTGCGAAAGAGGAGACGCAGGAGGAGTTGAGAGTGCTACAGGTGACGGCTTGGAAAAACCATGCATCTCCATAAGCCGATCGACCATCTGAGTAATTTGCGTGGCCATAAGAATGCCGGAGGCGGGTGTCAAAATGTGCTGCACTTCTGGTGGATAATTGTCCATGATCAACGCCTGACTTTGTCGTATGTTATAAAGAAGGAAGACTGCTGTTTGCAAGGAAGTCACCGACACTGACTACAGGTATGTAATGATTTAAGAGGAGTTAAATTTGAATCCCACCAAGCATCAATAATCAAACCCATTTTGTTACATTGTTCCATTGTTCCGTCCTATCCTATCTCAAATATCTCTCCAAACTTGCGTCAGCTTTCAAAAAGGTACGCCTTATTTCTCGTTCTTAGGGAATAGGAGCATTTTTCGACGACTTTCTATAACATTTTGTCTGCAAGTGGGTGGTTGTTTTAGAGAAATTACATGTGAATCCTACCATGGAGCAATAAGCACACCCGTTTTTGTTCCATTCTAAGGCGGACATCGAGATCGGAGAGCCAATCAGCAGAAAGGGGGAACCTATCGTCAGAATAACGGACATTGAGCGCTGTGCAGATTTCGCGAAATCCAGGAAGAACCTTGAGGACTTCACGCTCGAGAAGGAGAAATTGGGAGAAGGCAACTTCGGAAAGGTCCAAGTTGGAGAACTCGAAGGCAAGGTATCGTGTGTTCCGCCAGTCTGAAATTTGTAAGCCTCTATCAAACTGACTAGCTAGTACTGGCAATTTAATTTTTGCTCACTTGCGGCTGACGTCCTTTAACCCAACAAAAGTCCGCTCCGTATTCAAGCTGAAGACAGTAAACTAAATTTACTAAAATCAGAAGAGTACAGTAGATGTGCTAACTCATGAAATGTCAACCAAAATTTCGAAATTCATTCTCGTTTCGAAAAGATAAATTAAGTAGTGTTGTAAAACTGATTATGATGCAGCATAAATCTATAATGATCCAGTTACCTCAGGGTGTCGGCTTTCGAAAGAACTTATTTTCGGCTGCATGCAAGATCTATACTCTGCAAAAATGACATCTTAACTAGAATGCTATTTTCTCATCGATTTTCGATACCCTTGAAAATTCAATTATTTTTCATAGAAAACATGCATAAAATATCCATTCTTTTACTTCTTCGGTAGAAAATCATGTCTTCGTCCAATTTCATACTCAAAAGAGGAGTATAATTCGGTTTTAAAAAAGTTTCTAATTGTGAGTTTTTTTAATACCGTTAAATGGCCGTTCATGAAACGTCCTGTATCTGCATTTACGAATGTGGCTTGTAAAGTTAACAATCTTGCTCAAATCCACTGCTTAATTTTATGAACCTCATATGGTCTCCTCTTAACACCGTAGAGAAATGCATGCAATATTGTTAACTTTACAAGCCACATTCATAAATGCAGATACATGACGTTTCATGAACGGCCATTTAACGGTATTAAAAAATCTCACAATTAGAAACTTTTTTAAAACCGAATAACACTCTCCTTTTGAGTATGAAATTAGAAGAGGACGTGATTTTCTACCGAATAGGTAAAAGAATGATATTGTTATGCATGTTTTCCAAGAAATATGATTGAATTTTCAAGGGCATCGAAAATCAATGAGAAAATGGCATTCTACTTAAGTAGTCATTTTTTGCAGAGTATAGATCTTGCATGCAACCGAAAATAAGTTCATTCAAAAGCCGACACCCTGCGGTAACTGGATCATTATAAATTTATGCTGCATCATGATTAGTTTTACATCACTACTTAATTTATCTTTTCGAAACGAGAACGAGCTTAGTCGTGCTTTCGATAAATTCACATCGGGCCTGTACATTTATATGGGAACGAGGAACGAGTGATAAGTGCAATCGATTATGGTAATTAGATCGGATAACAAAAGCACACGTGGTTATGATAAATAGGTCGGATTATGTGGCGAAAATACAGTCCATATTGTGAGATCGAGGAAATTCAGGAAAGCCGACAAAGAGAAAGATTCCACAGACGAAGTAGAAGCACAACTAACAGACTGCTTGCGCAGACTCCATGCAGGAGGCTTCATAAGCGATCGCGAATTTGAAAACCTCCGCCCAGTAGGCACACACATTCCTCGATTTTATGGTCTACCGAAGATCCACAATAACGGCCTGCCAGTCCGTCCGATCTTGGACATGCTCAACTCTCCCTATCATGCTATAGAGGATTGGTTAGCTGAGAAAAACAAACCTCTACAGTATCAACTGGCACCACATAACTACCGAGACACCTTCGAATTCATCAAGGACGTTAAAGACCTAAACTGAAACGGTATGGTGATGTCTTCACTTGATGTCTCATCACTCTTCACAGACGTCCCGGTCACGGAGACAGTTGAGTTCCTGTAAATCCTTAACCTTGAAATAGGTATTCCGACGAGCGCCCTTAAGTAAATATTACTAAAGTGCACACAAAATGTGTTGTTCCTTTTTGACAACCAAATATATAGACAAATAGACGCAGTTGCTATGGGCTCACCTCTTGGTCCTCTCCTAGCCGATGTCTTCATGGGCAAGTTGGAGAATTGTCAGTTAAACGACCAAATCAATAAGTTAAGGCACTACGGTCGCTACGTTGACGACATCTTTGCAATGGGCGCCAGAGAAACCGACATCACCGCCCTCTTGGATACTGTAAATCAAGCCCATTCGTAGATCAGGTTTACATTGGAGGTGGAAAAGGCAGGCGCCCTGTCATTCCTAGACGTACGCCTAAGCAGAGGAACTGACGGCAGCATCCGAAGAAGCGTCTATTGAAAGAACCCCGGTCTGGACAATAAACGAACTTCTACAGTTTCGTATCCTTTCAACAGAAACGTAATCTGGTCCGCTGTTTGGCGCAAAGGGCTAGAAATCTCTGTTCGGCAGATAGCGTTGGTGAAAAACTTAGAAGAATCCAGGACTTACTTCGCGAGAACGGGTATCCTGGCAGATTTATTGTAAGGAATCTTGCCGAACGACCGGCAAACCTCATCATACCGACCGCAGAAGAGAAAACTCCGTTCCTGTAAGTCCCCTTTCAAGGGGACGCGACGGGTGAGCTCCTGAGAAGGCGCCTTGACCAAGCCGTTTCACGGACCTTCCCGGCAGCAGGGGTCCAAGCATTATTTTCGACCAACCCCGTCTTACGCGGTTAAGGTAAGAATAGGCTACCAGCTCAGACCACCTCCGTGTGCATTTACTGCTTTACTTGCTCCATGGAGCAGGCTACATTGGTCGTACGAGTCGGCGCGTATCCGTAAACATACGAGAACATCTTCCGGCATGGCTGACGAAGGGTTAAGTCAGGAGTATACGCAGCTCCATCCTCGCACGCATAGTTGATTCTGGGCATCGTGTGTATCCCAACGAAGTCTTCCATGTGATTTACGAGATTCACCTAACTATCCTAAACGACTGGTTCAGCGCGTACTAGCAACAGCAGAGGCAACTGCCATCAGGCTACAGAGGTCGGTCCTGTGTGCACAGAAGAACCTTTTGCACACTCCGCGTCTACCGTGGACTAGGATTGATTAACTGTATGCAGGTCTTCGCGCCCCCACCTCCTTCCCTCCCCCCATTATGACACGGCTCAACCTAACCCTCACTGTCACTGACTACCTCCCCTCCTCTCCCACTCTATTCACATACCCCGCTTGTATGAAAAGACGAACCATAATCGATTGCACTTATTACTCACACGTCCAGTTTGTACCTCGTTCCCATACACATGTACAGGCCCGATGAGAACTTATCGAAAGCATGCGCAAGCTCGCCAAACACTCTTCTGAATTGCTCCATGAGAATTTAATAAATTGTTCTAGGTTTATACTGCTTCGACAATGACTTCTCATTGTTTGTTGAGTAAGGGTAGGCTGTGTAGACCCTCTAGGTTTTTTACGTGTAACTGTCTACTATACATGTTTTAGTAGGCCTTTGTCGGTTTATTATTTCATAGCTACAGGCTGTCAGCCTTTGTGCGCTACCTGGCACACTGATATAATCACATGCTCCGAGTTGTTTCAGTGTGATGCTTTTTTAGTGATAAAAGATTTGGCGTTAGGCTGCCTTTGGTTTTCGCCCCCTCTCCGTAATCTGTTCCTTCCTAAAGGGTAGCCCTACCTTTCCGTGTTATGTCGGTACTTACTATACAACGCGTGGTGTAAGGATCGTCGGCTGCGTTTTGGTTTACTTTGCCTCGATTAGAGCACAAACCCTCGGCTTCCAAGATACCTCTGTTGTCGAACGTGTACGCCATGGGTTGCTTTCTTCTTCTTCTTCTTCTTCTTCTTCTTCTTCTTCTTCTTCTTCTTCTTCGCCTCCTTCTTCTCCATCTTCTCATTCTTCTTCTTCTTCTTCTTCTTCTTCTCCATCTTCTTCTTCGCCTCCTTCTTCTCCATCTTCTCATTCTTCTTCTTCTTCTTCTTCTTCAAGAATACTTTCGCGTTATCCCTCGCATAAGCAATAATTACAGTTACATTCAGTTGCGTCTATATATAAAAAAGTTACTTACAAATGGTCGTTAAATTGCGCTCAGGAAGGAGTCCTACAGGTTCCCTATTCGAGAAGCTGCCGCAGCGGGTATGCTTCCAGGATATTTCCCAAGCTCGCCTTAGGCCAACGCTGTCTAGGCCAAACCACAGACGATATTTAACCCCGTTCACGTGGGCTCATATTGCTTTGACACGACATCAGATCCCTTAGGGCTTTCCTCCTTCAAGATCAGCCGCACCGGAACACATATCCGTCGGTGTGCGGCCTCAGCTCTTGATGGCGCATTTAGCGTCCGCATTGGCATTTTGCCACATTATATTAGCCATCCCCTAATTTGCCGGTATTCTACCATCTTCATAGAGTTTATAGTTGCGGTTATTTCCTCCGCTTTGGTCAAAAAAATCAAGCTGCGGTTGGTTGACATTTCTGCGACCTGCAGCCGACAGTCTGTATTTTAGCAGGATAAAATCAACGATTATTTCCTGCTCTGTTCACAAATGCGTTCCATTATTGTGCATAATCTAATAAATATTTATTATCCTTAAATGTTTATTTTACAGCGGTCAGTTTAGTGATTATGAAGATACAAGGAGTCGTTCATACTTACGTTATTTGACTTTTACCTTGTTTATCAAGGTGTATTTTCATGGCTTCTTTAATACCCATGTGCATTACGCCACCTCGAAGTAAATGTTCGCAGTTACAATATTTGGCATTTACCGTTCTTCTTTCCTATTGGTTGTTCGTTCCATTTGTTTCTGAGCTGTCGCAAGTTTGCGATTGATGGATTATTTATTGAGGGTCGTTTGTTGTCTATTTTTCAATTAACGCGCTCACCTCTGTTGCTATATGTAGGCGTGGAAGAAGAATTTCGGCGGAAATCTACCTATTTTTAGCTTCTGTCGCGTGCATTTCGCTCCCTCTCTGCCGTGATGCCTCACCCGTAAAACCCATATCACCGCCAGTTCCGTGTCACACGAGTCTGGGGTTACTGGTTGCGAAGTTGGGTTACACAACCTATCGTTGTCGTGTCTTGTTCGCCTGGAGTTTTGGGAAATCTCTTGTCGGAGTTGCTTGTTGACCCAACCCCATGTTTGAGCACCCTAGGGAGTCTACTGGACATGATTTGTTCAACGAGTTTTATGGAGGTCTAAATGCTAGCGCTGTGCCCCTAAAAAAAGGTTACGCGGAAGGTGTGCTGGACCAAGACAGGGGCCAGATTAGGGCAGGATTTGTGTTAATGGGGCTGCGTCGGGTGCGTGCACCTCGCAAAACAAATGCCCGTTGTGGGTGGGGTGTGATGTTGCATGCCTAGGCTTCACTTACGTCGTGCCAGCCACTTGCACCCTAACCCAACGCCAGATGGCCGACGGGCGGACTTGTGCCTGTGGGCGAGAAGGGAGAGTGAGGTCGGCTCTGGGGACGCCATCATCACCGCCCTCAGCGCATATTCCTCACTATAAACAACCTGAAATGCCTTTAAACCATCACCTTGTGAACAAGGCATAGGCGACGAAACATGCAGGATTTAATGACATTAAATGGTTCTATTCAAGATCTATATATCTATCGAATACCCCCCCCCGGAAAGGACAATACATGCACTTCTTCAGTGTCGTTCCAATTGGGAGAAAACGGTACCTTGTCTTGTGCCCGATCAACGGAGCCACTAGAATCTTCTCCTCAGATAAAATCGATGACAAACTCACTTTCCTGAAGAAAGTTCTTCTTAGGAATGGTTATGCGGAGAAATTCCCTGATAAAAATCGTCATCCCTGACAATGAGTTCCTACAGAAATATTCGTTCCGAGAAAGCCAGTGAGCGTTTGCCTCCCTTTCAAGGGTTATGTTGCGTCAAACGTGATCAAGCGACGACTTCGGTGCACAATTCAACGGACATGCGCCGCCTGTAACTTATTTGTATGTTCTACAAGAGCCATTCAATTTAGACCAACTAAAGACATTCTGCCTATGCACGCCATATCAAACTGTATTTATGAATTTACATGTAGTTGCGAATGCATACCACCTTTAGTATATCCACATATATACAGTAGATGTGCTAACTCATGAAATGTCAAACAAAATTTCGAAATGCGTTCTCGTTTCGAAAAGATAAATTAAGTAGTTTTGTAAAACTAATTATGATGTAGCATAAATCTATAACGATGCAGTTACCTCAGGGTGTCGGCTTTCGAAAGAACTTATTACTGGCTGCATGCAAGATCTATACTCTGCAAAAATGACTACTTAAGTAGCCTGCAATTTTCTCATTGATTTTCGACGCGTTTGAAAATTCAATTATATTTCATGGAAAACATGCATAAAAATATTCATTCTTTAACATGTTCGGTAGAAAATCACACCTTCTTCCAATTTCATGCTCAAAAGGAGAGTATAATTCGGTTTTAAAAAAGTTTCTAATTGTGAGATATTTTAATACCGTTAAATGGCCGTTCATGAAACGTCATGTATCTGCATTTACGAATGTGGCTTGTAAAGTTAACAATATTGCTCAAATCCACTGCTTAATTTTATGAACCTTATATGGTCTCCTCTTAACACCGTAGAGAAATGCATGGTTTTACGTACACGGAAAATATACAGCTAGTAGTTTCGAAACCCTGAATGCAAGTGTAACAGCAGGTCGGATTCAAAATTATTCGGGAATTAGAAAAGTTTTTTAAAATTGAATTATACTCTTCTTTTGAGCATGAAATTGGAAGAAGGTGCGATTTTCTACCGAATAAGTAAAACAATGAATATTTTTATGCATGTTTTCCATGAAATATAATTGAATTTTCAAACGCGTCGAAAATCAATGAGAAAATTGCATGCTAATTAAGTAGTCATTTTTGCAGAGTATAGATCTTGCATGCAGCCGGTAATAAGTTCTTTCGAAAGCCGACACCCTGAGGTAACTGGATCATTATAGATTTATGCTGCATCGTGATTAGTTTTACAACAATACTTAATTTATCTTTTCGAAACGAGAACGTATTTCGAAATTTTGGTTGACATTTCATGTGTTAGCACATCTACTGTACGTTTATCATGAGCGGGTGGTTGGTCGACCACAGTACATGATACAGTCGCCTTGCGAACGACTCTCCCAAGGAACGCGGGTTTGCATCTGAGGCTGCCTGAAGAGGGCTGAAAAGTCAGACCTGACAGTCTTAGTCCTCTTAATCTTTGTCAGTACCCATTTATGTAACATGAGTAGACAGTCATTCAAACATGAATGGATGCAAACCAATCCACATGCTTGTCAATAAAAACAAGTCTCGAATGAGCGGCAGTGGTCATGAACATGCGACTAACTGCCAGATCGAAGCCGATTAAGCTATGATGACAAAGGGAGTGGCGACAGACGATGCGGTTGGATTAACACAGCACTGTTTCGGCCTTATCCTGCCTTCTATTGGTCAATTATAACTTCGACCACCAGCTGAGACCAGAAACACAAACATGCGCTCGCACACGACACAGATGCTTCACAGATGGAGTTTTTAAAATAAGTTTTAAGCATTTCGCGAACCGAAGCTCATCGATGTCTTGTCACCTGCCATTCTCTGTCCCAGTTAGGTGGTTGTTTGTTCATGATCACTTTCACCATTCGCGGGTTGTTTGCTTCGTAAAACTAGTGGATCGGAGTGTGCGCATTCGTATGTGAATAAGGGCCCCTTCGGCAGCAACCATCTGAAAGACCTTGTCTGCGGCTTATGCATCGTTCTACTCATTTATACCTTCCCGACCACATCCAGACTTGCTTTGGCCAGCAGTTATGGTTTTGCGTAGCCAGTTGTATTTATTGTATCCATCAGATGAAAGCCCCTCGACTGCCTTAACGCAATCGACTGTGCCGTTTTTTATTACAGAAAGTTGCCGTCAAAATGGTTCCCCAGGCGTCCAATGATTTCCTCACCGGAGTCATGGAGGTGGCCGTAATGCTTGACCTAAATCATCCGAATCTGGTTCGACTCTGCGGCTGGTGTTTTGAAGACAAAACTCTCTACATTATCACTGAACTGGTACAGGGTGAAACCCTACGAGCCTACGTCCAGAAGGCAAAGAAAAAAGACTTGAACAACCTAGGACTGGAGAAAATAATAAAGGGCATCGCGAATGGTTTGCAGAACCTGGAAGCCCGGAAGTTAGTCCATCGAGATTTGGCGGCACGAAATATTTTTTTGGACACCGAAAATAATCCAAAGGTCAGCTTTGGAATTTACCTTTCTCCCTGTGTTCCCATAATTCTTACGACGCTGTCTGTCACCGTGGTAATCTTGAAAAATGCCTGCATGTTCAAGCAAAAGCGGCATGATTTAGATCTATTTTTGGGCATGAGAAGTATCATATTTAAATTCTTTTCAGCGTTAGCTTCGAGAGTGTGGACCGCTGTGTCTTTCACGATATTCCAAAGGCCTTATTTCCTCGTAAGTAAAACTGAAGGGACAACCTAAATTCTTCCTGCTAAACATTGCTCCCTCTCAATACAGTGATTCGAGAAGTGTATTTAAAACACAAATTTACCCCAGGAATCCCAGTCATAATGGCATAGAGAGGCCATTGCTTCGTAGGGTGTCGGAAGATATGAGCTACAGAGGCGTCGATGGGACGTAGAGGTAGGCTAATCTCAGGTGTTTTCGTGCGGCTTAATTTCCTAATATTTGGATTAACGTGTAAGGTTCCAAGCATTGCATTTTGTTGGTTTTAGAAGTGGGATCATTTTTCAGCCGACCAGTGTCTACTTGTGAATGCGCTAAGCAGCAGGATTAGTCTTGTTTAAAAGCTCGGAGTGCACGTCCCATTTCTTACTCACGCCTAGGGCATTCTGTACATTCTTTCATCTCAGAAGAAGAAGATGCGATCATTGGAGCAAGAAGTTTATTGGCCTGACGATTCGGATTCTCGCTCAAACGCATCATTAGAGACGGTTGCAAATAAAGGTAGTGGAGGCACAAGGACTGCATTATTTATAATGCGTAGCTGCCGTGAGACTACACGCGTATTATAATTAACAGCTCTCGTGATCAATACTGAGGATCGTAATTAAGGCGATGATGGATCGTCAGTCCTCGACCGAGTCGTTAATTGCCGCAAATTCATCATCCGTGTTGGCTGTTGACGTGACGATTACTCGGCCATTTGGCCCCCTGTGACCAGGCTAGTTGAAAGCCCGCGTCCTCCCAACGTGACTGATTCTCCTGTCCAGGTAATGTCCCAGCACTGAATGTGGTACGGGGAGGTCATTGCGCTTGAACCCACATCCTCGCAAGAGCGGACAACCGCGTGAGCCGCGAGCTGCTCGAATCACGGTTGTCAGGCCCGCAATCCATCAACAAGCGCAATGACCTCCCGGTGACACATTCAGTGCTGGGACATTCCCTGAGCATGGGAATCAGTCACGTGGGGAGGGACGTTTGCTGACCCGTTTTAGACTTTTTTGCTTACAAATCTGCCCCACTGACAGTGTATCTGGATGTTCTATGCAGTCCTCATAAAATTCGTTTTGCAGATCGGTGACTTTGGTCTCTGTCGGCGGGAGGGCTCTCGATATCCTTGCGGAGAGATGCCAGTGAAGTGGTCGGCGCCAGAGATACTGGCGAACAAGGAAAACTACAGCACTAAATCCGACATCTGGTCTTATGGCATCCTTCTGTGGGAGGTATACAGTCTCGGACACGTTCCCTTCTTTGACATACCCAATGAAAAACTGAGCGAAGCTTTGAAGAAGGCCTTCGATGAGAACAGATGTCCACTTGAGTTCCCGGAGAATACTCCCGTAAACGTCCGGAGAGTGGCACTTGACTGTCTAAAGGCAGACCCCGCCAGTCGTCCAGATTGCACAGACATTATTGCAAAGTTGGAGGCACCCCCTATTCCTCCCCCTTTGCCTCCGAGAGAATCCTTGCCTTCAAGACCTCCTTTTAGATATTCTACCATTGTATAAATCGGGCGCTGTCACGTTGTCTGAAGGTAAAAGATATCGGATGTGGTTTCTGCACCGCGAACGTCTCCTCATTGCTGCTTCTGAGATAATTTTTTTCCTTTCAGACCTTGTGAATATATTGTTTTCTGGAAATATATAAAACAAAAGAAGGAATTGTTGAGCCACTATCTATTAAAAAGTCAGCTTAAGAAGGTGGGATAATAGTATGTGACCTAACGCACAAAAGGTGTTGAATTTTACGAGTGATTATTAATCACACGCAAACCGACACCAATACACGGACCCAATATCTACGTTAATAATTAACGACTTCATGGGAATTAAAATCATAAAAGCAATGTTAGAGACGATGTTGCGTTGTCTATAAATATCAGGTTTTCTTTTAGAAAAGCCAAAAATACCGAAAACGTCAGAAATGGTTATAAATGTGTAAACTTAATTCGTCGATGTAAAGAAAGTCTGTTCACGAAAAACACTGAGCATTTACAGTAGGTGAGCTAACTCTTGAAATGTCAACCGAAATTCCGAAATGCGCTTTCGTTTCGAAAAGATTAATTAAGTAAGATTGTAAAATTAATCAGTTTGCAGTATAATTCTATAATAATTCAGTTGCCTCAGGATGCCGGCTTTCGAAGAAACTTCATTTCGGCTGCATAAAAAACTATACGCTGTAAAAGTGACTACGCGAGTAGTACGCATTTTTCTCATTGATTTTCGATACACCTAAAAGTCTGATTATATTTCACGAAAAACATGAGAAAAATATTTATTCTTTCGCGCATTCGGTAGAAAATTACGTCTTCTTCCAATTTTGTACTCGAAAAAGGGACATAATTCGGTTTTCAAAAACTTTTCCAGTTTCCGAATAATTTTGAACTCGCTTTGTCGTCACGCTTGCATTCAGGGTTCCCAAACTACAAGCCATGTATTTTTCGCGTACGGAAAACCACACATTTCTCTGTGGTATTAAGAGAAGACCATATGGGGTTCACAAAATGTAGCATTGTATTTGATCCATATTGTTAGCTTTACAAGCCACATAGGTAAATACAGAGACATGAAGTTTTATGAACGGCCATTTCGCGATATTGAAAAGTCTCACAATTAGAAAATTTTTTAAAACTGAATTATGTCCTTCCTTCGAGTATAAAATTGAAAGAAGACGTAATTGTCTATCAAATGAGCGAAAGAATAAATAATTTTGTTCATGTCTTCTATGAAATATTATTGGACATTTAGGGGCATCGAAAATCAATGAGAAAAATGCATGCTAATTGATTAGTCGTTTTTTTACAGAGTATAGTTTTTGCTTGCAGTCGTAAAGAGGTTCTTTCGAAAGCCGGCATCCTGAGGTAACTGAAATATTATAGAATTCTATTGCATGCTGACAGTCACGCCGCGGTGGACTGTCGAATCCGTACCTATCAGCTGGAATTGGCCAATTAACTAACAGACCAGCTGGAGCGCCCAAGCCGCATGTAAGCTCGGCAGAGAACACATCGGCCACTGGAAACAACAAATCTGTGTACATCTCCGTGGAGGAGCTCCTATTCTGACATTGACGTAATGCTGCCTTATGCAACAACGTGGTTATCTTGAAAATCAGGGCGCCAGTGCGTCACCACGACTCCTGACTGAGCTGCCAGTGTGTGTGTGTGTGTGTGTGCCCTCTAAACGGGCCACGTGTTAGATGCGCTGGACCAACACGGGGGCCACATCGGACTCTGGCAGGCGTTATCTGTGCGCAGTAACAAATGCCAACATTTGCGGGGTGCGCTGGCGGACCCTGTTGTCGGCATTCGTCGCTCAACTGGACCACAGCCACCACCCCATTGTTTTGTGGTCAAAATCCTGGTCATTTGTGTGTGGACCAGGGGGTGCGGAGTGGAGCGCCAAGGCGAGGATACGTCCGAGCCATCCACCTGCGGCCCCCCCGTCTCCGGTCTTCTTGACTTGTTCTTGACACCGGGCTCAGGCGAGGGAGGAGGAGAGAGTGTAGGTAGATGCTACGCAAGTCTACTGGCACTATAAACCCCTGCGTAAGTCACCGTCCCTGCTCTCACAATGCAGTCTGTGGGGCACACGGTGGACATCGTCGAAATCGACGGTCGAACTGTCATGTGTGTGTGTGTAAATATTGGTCTATCGTAAGACAGCATGCACTTCTTGCATCAGTTCTCAAATGCCATGTTCTTTGGGGTCTGCAGATCATATTTGCTCCTGAACTCTTCGGAAAAGTTTTCCGGCGTCTCCATGATACTCCATTTGGGTTACGGAACGCCTGTAGCTATCTGCTTTTACGATTGTCAGCGTCACAGCTGACTAAAGCCGCTTTTTCCACCTAAAGTTCCCTGTCAGCTCGCTGCTGGGACCGCGCGAGACACGGCATTGGCTCCGCGAGAGCTCGAAGCCAATTAAGTTGCGTCATTGGTTGTTTGGTGGCAGGCGACGAAGCCCACACACTCCCTGGGGGCTAAAATTCTCAGCGACGGACACTCGCGGACACTTGCTTGGTGAAAGAGCTTGCGACAACTCCTTGCTGAGGCTGCTATATAATCTTTTGCCTCAGCAAGGCTAGTTTGACCCAGTCCGTTCGCCCTGACTTGTGGTTTTGGAATTATCATTTGTCAACCATCGCACCTTTCGACATGTCAGCATTTGCACCGTGGTTGAGGACCGATTCTCACCTCCGCTGGACAACGAAACTGGTCGATTGCCTTAGAGAAGTATCGCACCCAGGATAGGTGGAAAGAACTTGAGGCAAGCGCATGTTACGTTACTCCCTTGGGAGGACAGTAGTTAGCCACAAACCTGACGCCAACCATGGTGATGCGTTAAGTGAGAAATTACTAGTCTTAGATCAAATCCTAGCCCTAGCCTCAATCCCATATCCAATCCACATTCCAAGCCTGGCAACCCTAGTCCCACGAATAACCCAACTAATCAATCTAAACCGTTGCACAAAACGGGCAATTTTAAGATCGAAAACGCTATCATAGATCAAAAATTCGCTTCGTGCTTAACCCCTATCGCAACCTACTGCCAAGCAAACCGTTGTGAAGCACACCTCACACTCATGAAATGTCAACCAAAATTTTGAAGTGCGTTCTCGTTTCGAAAAGATAAATTAAGTAATGTTGTAAAGCTGATCATGATGCAGCATAAATCTATAATGGTCCAGTTACCTCAGGGTGTCGGCTTTCGAAAGAACTTATTTTCGGCTGCATGCAAGATCTATACTCTGCAAAAAATGACATCTTAACTAGAATGCTATTTTCTCATCGATTTTCGATACCCTTGAAAATTCAATTATATTTTACGGAAGACATGCATAAAAATATTAATTCTTTTACTTATTCGGTAGAAAGCACGTCTTCTTCCAATTTCATACTCAAAAGAAAAGTATAATTGGGTTTTAAAAAGTTTCTAATTGTGAGATTTTTTAATACGGTGAAATGGCCGTTCATGAAACGTCATGTATCTGCACTTACGAATGTGGTTTGTAAAGTTAACAATATTGCTCAAATCAACTGCTTAATTTTATGAACCTCAGATGGTCGCCTCTTAACACCGTAGAGAAATGCATGGTTTTCCGTACATAGAAAATATACAGTTTGTGGTTTTGAAACCCTGAATACAAGTGTAACAGCAGGTCGGGTTCCAAATTATTCGGGCATTAGAAAAGTTCTTTAAAACCGAATTATACTCTTCTTTTGAGTATGAAATTGGAAGAAGACGTGATTTTCTACCGAATAAGTAAAAGAATGAATATTTTTATGCATGTTTTCCATGAAATATAATTGAATTTTCAAGGGCATCGAAAATCAATGAGGAAATTGCAAACTACTTAAGTAGTCATGTTTTGCAGAACATAGATCTTGCATGCAGCCGAAAATAAGTTCTTTCGAAAGCCGACATCCTGAGGTAACTGGACAATTATACATTTATGCTGCATGATAATAAGTTTTACCACACTACTTGATTTATCTTTTCGAAACGAGAACGAATTTCGAAATTTTGGTTGACATTTCATGAGTAAGATAGGAAGGTAGGCTTTGGGGGGGGGTTACATACTCTACCCATACCGAGTTTTGACTTTTTTCCCCCACCCTGCAAGCAATTACGGCGAAGCCTGATATGGACATTCGGGATTGTCCTTGGCCTTGCTGAGGCCGGAGGACTTCTTTAAGTTTGCACGCACAGATCATTGACGCGGCCACCCCCACAAGGTCTGACGCAAACGTACGCGACTAGGCCTCAGATGATTTTTCTTCAGTCAGTGGCGGAACTCATTACTGAACCATATGAGTACGCCTGTCGTCATATATGATTTTAAAAGGAAGCTTCACTGCAAAAATTTTGGCAAATCTCGCCTTGTTAAACATTTTGCGATCTACTTTTTTTCCGTGGTAATTCGCCCTGAGCAGCTTCAATCCTTTTTGCTTGTGGGCAAAGAATAAAACTTTTCGATCACCGGTACAGTTTGCTTATTATTCTGGGTATTCGGACTGGTGCGGGAGTCCATCGTTGTGTTTGATTGCTTGCGTGAATGTGGACCCGAGCGCATTTCTACATGATAGCAGTTTTATGCTGAATGCATGAGGGTCATCAACGACGCCAGCTCGACCGTCGTTTCCGACGATGTCAATCGCGTGTCCGAAATCAAAGTAGGCGCAGGAACGGTAGCTTGTGCGCAGGTTGCCTTGTAGTGGTAGTTGACTTGTACCGCATCTGTCGCGCCCTCCTCTCGCCTACTCACTCGCTCCGATCTTCTGGCAATGTCGAGAGGGCACGGGTGGCTGACGCGGCAAGAACCTGCACCTGGGTGTACTACCACATCCTCTGACTGCATACAGTGAGTGACCTATCTCATGAAATGTTGGCTGAAATTCTGAAATGCGTTTTCGATTAGGAAGGATTACTTGATCGCGGTTGTAATACTGGCTATCTGGCGGCATACTCTTATAACATTCCGGACTTGGCAGGATGTCGGCTTTTAA